CTGTCATTGCTCAATGGGCTCATGAACAGAGTGGCCCTGGTGGCAGGGATGGAGGTTATGCATGGGCTCAGCAACATGGACTCCCACTCACCAAAGCTGATCAGGCTACAGCCACTGCTGAATGCCGAATATGCCAGCAGCAGAGACCAACACTGAGTCCCTGATATGGCACCACTCCCCGTGGTGATCAACCTGAAACCTGGTGGTAAGTTGATTACACTGGACCACTTCCATCATGGAAGGGTCTATGCTGTCCTCACTGGTATAGACACGTGTTCTGGATATGGATTTGCCTTTGCGGAGCATTCCACCTTTCTGTCAATCCAGCTGCTTCTGGATGGTGAGGGACATGGTAAGACCAGTGAATTCCATGAGCATGAGCCCATTTCCTCACTTCTTTGGCTGTAAAATGTGTTTCTTGGTCAGAGGCAATGCTATGTGGAATTCCATGACAGTGGATAAGGCATTCTGTGAGTCCATGGGTGGTAGTTTTGGCAGAAGCCTCACATGCCACTATATGGCAGTGTCTCCCATTGCTGGAATTCATGGGTCCGGGAATCAAGGGGTGGAAGTAGAAATGATACCACTAACCAGTACCCCTACTGATCCACTAGCAGAATTTTTGCTTCCTGTCTCCACAACCTTATGTTCTCCTGGCTTAGAAGTCTTAGTTCCAGAGTGGGTAAGGCTTACACTAGGAAGCACAACAATGATACCATTGAACTGGAAGCTAAACTTTCTCCCTGGTCATTTTGGTCTCCTCATGCCTCTGAGGAAACAAGCTAAAAATGGAATCAGTGTTGTCAGGGGTGATTGACACAGCCTATCAAGGGGAAATTGGACTACTACTCCACAATGGAGAAAAAGAATAATATATTTGGAGTGCAGGAGATCCCTTAGGGTACCTTTTAGTATTACCTTGCCCTATTAAAGTCCGTGGGAAACTACAACCTAATACAGGCACAATGACAAATGGCCCAAAGGCTTCAGGAATAAAGGTATGGGTCACTCCACCAGGAAAAGAACCAAGACCTGCTGAGGTACTTGCTGAAGGTCAAGGGAATACAGAATGGGTAGTGCAAGAAGGTAGTTCTAAATACCAGCTATGACCCTGAGACCAGCTACAGAAAAAAGGGTTATAATGGTACTATTTCTCCCCTATATGGTGCTAATGTAATATAATGTTGACAGACTTAATAATGGTTCTTCAGGATTGTTAAATCTGTGTTATAATGTTCAAGTTATGAAATTGTAAGTGTAAGCATCAACCAATGAAAATTCATATTCTATTTGGGTGAGGGAATTAGTGCATTTCAGTTTGTATGAAGGATAGCTGTAACATGTTAGGCACAATTACATATGTCTTTGTATCTGGGGACTGGTTTAAAGAAATGTGCCTGGTTGCCAAGTTGACAATGGGTGGATTATAGTGGTTGATTGATAATGTCAACTTGAGAAGTTTAGAAACATAACTAAACTTGGCTCAGCAATTGGCTCAGCAATTCTACACCCTAGGGTGTAGAGGAGCCACTCTAGAGTGGATCATCACCTACATGATATAAAAGGGAAATTAGGAAGGACAGAGGAACTTCCATTCCTTTGAAGGAGCTCCAGTCTTCACCTTCAGCTTGGACGTCCTCTCCTGGCTTTTAGTGCAGACTCTTCACTTCCGTCTTGGATCCTTCAGCCTTCTGTCGCAGACTCATTGGCCTCCTGATACGGACTTGCACAGAACTCTGCAGTGAACTCGACCCTGGACTGACTCCTTCATTCTTCAGTGTGCAGACACCCTCTGCACACTTCCTCACACAACTCTTTGGCTGACCATCATAAACCAATCTTGTAATTTCTTATACATTTGTACATCTTGTATTATATGTTTCTCTAGTAAAACCCTGACTGATAGAACATCCAATACACAAATAAGCAGGTTATGTCAACAGTATCATTATATTTCACTGTATCTGCAAAGTGTGGCAGTAAGTCCTTAAATCCCAGTGATTTATAACCACATTTACTTCTTGCTCATGTAAAATGAAGAGAGAATGAGTGGTTTTGGTCCAGTGTAACACCTTCTGCCTCCGAACTGTGGTCTGAAAGAGCTACTGCTATCTGGCCCACACCACTCCCATGGTAGAAGACAATGAATGAGACTTACTCATTGCCTTTGTAAAGTTGTTTGGATGTGGTGCTTTTCTGCTCTTCAGACACACTGGCCAAACCAGAGTTCCCTGATGGAGAAGATAAAAGCAGAAAAGGATAGGGAGAGCCAGGTATGTATGTGCAATAGGGATGGAGGACTGTAACAAAGAAACTGACAGGCTTACAGGAGGCATTTATGGGTTATTCGCTCTTAGGATCATGATGTATGCTTAATATTGCTACCAAAGACCTACTTCCTCATCTTCATGGGTGGACACTTTTTCCACGCACTGTGATAGTGAGGAGTGGCCATTAGACTGAGTGACAGCCAATGGACTGGGAACAGATGTGTGTGCCATGGCAACCTGGAATCAAGGGTGATGAAGCTAAATGAGCCTGAGTCCCCAGAGAAGTATAAGACAAAACTTAACAGTGTTACTTGGGATGTACTATATTTTGAGTCTAGCACTAACTGCAGTCTATCATATTCCAACCCATTGTTTCCTCCAAGAATACCTTATTTACCACTTTTTAAAAATTTTTATCTGTCAGACAATTTCTTTACAGAACTTTTAACAAGATGAAAATTGTGTGTGGGGCTATGTTCATAATTTCTAATTCTAAAATCCAGCCTGGTTTATCATATAACAGTGACACAAATGCCAAATGTATGTCAAGGGCTAATTAGATTAACTAAGGCTAAAGTCATCATTTCACACAGTAAGTAAACTATCAAGGTGAAAACTGCAACTCTGTGATGTATGGAAATCCATTTGGTAGCAACATCATTTATAATACAGACTTAGTAGACTCTCCTGGGAGACTTGTGAACTTGGGAAACAAGGTATATTGACAAATGAAAACCTTGAAGGGCCTTTTTAAGTGAGAGAAGATGACATGTGAGAAAAAAGAATGAAAAACGACATAAATCTCTTTGTCTAAAAAATAAAAATACTTAAAAGGGAATAACCAAATTGAGACTGGTACTTTGAAACAACCAGGTCTTGTACTTGGAGAAATTCATCAAGTGTGAGAAGAGGCACATCTAGAGAGGATACAAATTGTCACCCTTAGCCCACCAGAAGCTGACATGTTTTGAAACATCTGTACTTTCAGTGAACAGGATGTCAGAACTGCCACACTGCAATTTATCCTTGTATCTGCTTTTCCAATTTTTTGTGATGTTTTCAAAAGGACTCCTGATAGTATCTGCTGACAAAGGAATGTTTGTTTTACACCTATTACTTTTACCTTGTTTCTTTTATACTAATTCACCATAAAGCATACATGAACTTTACCATCTTAAGTATTTTATGTATTCAATTAGTAGATTCACAATACTGTGTAATCATTAGCACTACCCATGTACAGAATGTTTTCATCAACTCACACTGAAACAGTGCCTATTAAACAACGCAGTTCTCACCATAAACCCATGGTCAATCTCTACTTCCTGTCTGTCATGAATTTGACTGAATACCTCATGTAAGTGAATTCATACAATATTTGTCCTTGTGTGTGTCTTATTTCATTTACGTTGCCATATACATCAGAATTTCATTCCTTCTAAAGATTGAATAATATTCCACTGTATGTATATACTACACTTCACCCATTCATCTGTAGAGAGACATGATTTATCTTTTGACTGTTAGAAATAATGCTGCATTAAACACTGGTGTTAAGTACCGGAGCCTCTGCTTTTACTTCCTTTGGGGATAGAAGAGGTGACTGAAAACTATGGTGAATGTTGAAATTTTAAAACTTTATTACTGTAAAAGATACATACCATTAACCTCTCTCAAAATACCCTCTCCCCTTGCTTGGAAGACACCCAGTCACCCCCGCTACTTTCTGAAGCAGTTTTGGAAGTCCTCGCTCGTAACTGTATCATGTGTGATTAAAAAATAATAATAATAATATGGTGAATGGTGCTGAGTGCCACTCATTGGGAAGGCAGGATTGTAAAAAAATCACAGTGTGTCTTCACCCACCTTATTTATTGGATCCGGCATCATGCAACTGCTGGCTCTTCCCCAAGCAAAACGACCATGAAAGGCAAACAGTCTGAATTGATTCAGGACATCAAGGCAGCCACAAGAGCACAGCCAGACACTCTTATAAAAGACTTCCAGACTGCTTTAGAAAGTGGCAAGAATGACTGGATAAGTGCATTTGAGGAAAGGAGAATTTTGAAAGGGGATTAATGGTAATGTGTCTCTTCTGTAATTTTTTTTTATTTAAATACACAGTATATACCCAAAAGTGGAATTGGTATATCACGTCCTGTTTTCCATAGCAGCGACACCATTTTACATTCCCACCAGCAACGTGCAAAGGTTGCAGTTTTCCATATGCTTATCAGACCTTATTTTCCCATGTTTTTAATATAGTCACCCTAATGGTTATGAAGTGGTTTCTTCACATCAGGAAAAACAATTGTCTCTCTGTGCTAAACATCCTCACTACTAATATTAAGGGAGCTCTAGGAAGGTATCTAGACATTTACCATTAACTTACTGAAATTATGAATAGGGAAGTGAAAAGAACACTGCCGTGCATTCTTAAAGATGGGTCCCCCTCCCTGTACGACTTGTCTACCCCATAGCCTCCTTCATTTTCTGAATCAGTGGACTTTATAAACATCGCCCAGCACCAGGCCCAGAAAGAGTCTCAGAATATTAACCTACTTCACTTATTCAGGCAACTCCAAGTATAATCCATTCCACCACTTGAAAAAACAGTGTTTTCCCTCCTAATAACACCATTAATAACCACAGGGGCTCTTTTCAAGTCCAACAAATTCACATATTAATGTAATGAAGTGAAAGTAAGTAAAGTCAGACCTGAGGCTTTGGCACTGCTGCAGTTATTTAACTTTATTATATTTTAAAATATGAAAACTGTAAAACACACTATTTATATAAACACCTGAGGACTGTTCAAATGGGCACAGTATCTTCATACAAACAATTTGACAGAAGACCAAGTTTAAGTAAGAATATAGTCTCATAACATAAGAAGTAACATTGATGACGTGATCCTTCAAACAAGGATTCTTATCTAAAGTACACATAGCTTTCTAGGAAGAAAATGTACATTCTTGCCCAGGTGAACATTTTATTGGCATTTAAAACAAATGGCTAATACTTTTTCATAGCTTATTAATATTACCCAAGTAGTAACAATAAACATATAGCACCATTTCCCCCTGAAAGTTCTAACTTTCACAGACCAAAGTAGTCAGAACTAAAGTATCTTCCAAAATGTAGCAGAATAAATGGCTCAGAACCAAGCAAATTAGTAAGAAACATTGCATAGGATAGAGAATGTCCCTGCACGGAAACCAATCTACCGATTGTTTCTCATCACCTGAAGAGTAAGCGGAGAGGTACTGGTGATGGCAAATGATGCACATATTTTTGTAGAATAAAAACATCTAACTATATTCATAGCTCACTCTTCCCTTTGTGGCAGTGCAAAGTGCCATATTAAATTCAAAAAGAAAACATTTACACGTGTATACCTATAAGAATAGAATAGTATATAAATATGGTAAAGTATCCATATGAGAAATAAACATACAATAAAATATATATCTCTTAAAAATTTGGACACAGATATAGAGATATGTGAAATGAATGCCTAGTAAGTATCCAATCTTTGCAAAAAATATAGGTTTACAATTATATGTATTTTAGTGAAAAAAGGTAATCCTATTCGATCCAAGCCACTCTTGTAGTATAAACACGTGCACAAAATGATCATTCTATCAGCTGTTTTTAAAAATTATAAAAAAAAGGTAAGAACACTTTATGAATCCTTATAAGCTTGCTTTTTCCTTTAAATATGAACAAATACAATACTGAAGGAACTAATAACAGAAAGGAAAATAATTTATATGGCTATTTCTTTTGTAGAAATTCTTAAAAGATGAACAGAACACTATAGAATTGGAGAGAAAATATTTGAGAAAGAATCAATAGCTACAGGTACATCTTTAAATTTTCTTCTGAGAAAAAATTCTCATGGGTTTAATTGTAGAAGCTGTCAAATCTCTATCATTTTCCTCTTTGGGATTTAGCTGTTTTGGTTCTAAATATAAAGATTAAACCAAATCAAAGGGTTCTCTGCTTACTACAGGAAGTACATTTGTAAAATATACAATCAAAATAATAGAGACACAAATGAGCTACCAATTTGAGTATGTTAATACTAGCATGCTAAATGCTTTTAAAAGTAGACTGCACTGTTACTGAAATTTAGCAATTCTGACAAGACATTTTTAAAGGAACTTTCTATGCAACAAAGACTGCTAAGAAAACTACTTTTAAATTAAAATGTTATCAGTACACCTGAGAATTATGTCTAATCTAAACTGACTTTTTTCAATTATATTTTCCTTCTTTAAGTTTTTCAATGTAATGACAAAGCTTTATTGCTGGCCCCAGCTTCAGTCCCATGTACTTCATAACCACATCACTCTTGAGTAGAAGCAGAGCTTTCCCATCAATCTCCTACAAAGGCAAGAAAATTACAATACTTAATGCTTTCATATTTGTCAAAACAGGTACTTATACATAAGAACACGTAACACAGAGAGCAGTTATATGAGATCTATTATGTTCTAGATCTATATTCTCAATATACATTTACTTCTTGAAAATTATTAAAATGTAACTTGTATGGTGAAGCATCATGTGATAATTTATAAATATTTTTCAAATTTTACATAGAAATTTAATACAGTATCTTTGATGAATGATATGAATGTTCTAAGAATCAAAGTAGCTGATCTTAACTACCTAACAGTTTACCCCAAATGTTACTCAGGAAGCATGTTTGTTTACCTACTATCCTGCACATCTCTCAGACAGGTGTCACTTCAAATACCTGATTCTTGTATTGAATAAGTTTGATAAAATTATTTTTATATTTCCTGCTTTATTATCTTATAAAAATTAACAAAAATATATCATTTTTGGTCATCTTGTATTTTGGACTGAAAAGTGGTTAAATACTGTATGTTGAACAAAATACTATATATCTATGACAAAGGGTCAAAAACTATGAATGGCTGAAGTGAATCTCAGATAGTCATTAACTTTCTTTCCTTTTTTTTTTTAAAGATTTTTTGAGACAGGGTTTTGCCATGTAGTTCAGGCAGGCCTTGGGCTCACTATGTAGCCCAGGCTAGCTTTGAACATGTGGCAATCCTCCTGCCTCAGCCTCTCAAGTGCTGGGATTACAGGCATGTGCTACCATGCCCAACAAATCATTAACTTTCTAAAACGGACTAGGAATATGCCAACATCAATGCAAACTATAAACATGCTATATAGTATTATCTTTATAAACTGATCAGTTAGTTGTCTAAAGTTGGTTGGACGCTAAAACCACTGATTTTCTTAACACTATTAAAATGGTACATCAGAAATTAGATTGCTAATTTGATTTGTTAGAAATCAATGAAAATATTGCTTAATAGTCACAAGGCATCCTCCTTAAGTTTTTTATTAACTGATTTATGTTACGGAGGCACTGTTTCATATTAATTTCTGTTTAAACCAAAGATGCATGGTTTATTAGGTATAATGAGAAGGCAACCCCTCCTACTCATGGTCCTAGGGCCAAGAAGGGACCAGGTTGGGGAGGGGGAAGATCCTTTTATCTGTCATTACAAAAAAGGTTGTCCACTGGAGGGTGATGATATTGAATCATTGTGTCTTGAGAACTTGAGGTTTAGTTATTAAGCACCTGGATACCCATTTTAAAGAACACACCACTAACCTTCCATTTAAAGATCTAATGTTGGGCAAAATAACCTTTCTCACAAATGGAAAAATCAGTTTATAGGGTTCCCCCACCATCCACACAACTCAGTATCCAGTGGCAAGGCTTGCATAGAAGTCATTCAAAGGCATTATGGCAGCACGAAAACCAAATCAAAAGATACATTACATGTTGCCTGAAGAGGTCGGCGAGGGGGCCTGATATCTGAGGATCTGTACGATTCATAAACTGTATCACTTCATCCACAGACCAGGTTGAAGGGTCCTCAGGTAAGACTTGTTTCACGACACTGGGTTCAGGTTCAGCTATATAAGTTGGAACTTCAATGAGGGGGAAAAAAGAACAAATCATACTTGACCTGATCATTATCCTGAAATTAGGGAGCAATGGTGTTATTGCCGGAACACTCTGTTAAGAACCTAAGCAAGGACTCAAAATTCCAACCGTGCAATCTAATGAAAACCTACATAAAGATGATCTGAAGACAGTGGCACAAGAATATCCCATCTAACCTCCCCCAATCAGCAGAAGCAGCTTCAAAAGTTCCCCCTAGAGATTCAATGATTACAAACAACTGACAGCCAATCTAAGGTCTCTGTGGCCTCGAGCAAATACAGTAAAACATGTTACAAGGGTTAAAATAGGTTAAGAAACTAAGTCATTACTCTCTTACATTGTTTAAACAAGTTTCATTCTCTGTTAACTGCTCTCCCTTCTCTGACTAAATAAGGTTTATTTCACTAGCAAAATTCAGTGGAAACTGCCCACATTTACAGTTTTATGGCTGCTTAAATTTGTTTGCATTTGTAGTGCTGGGGATGGAACCCAGGGTTTTAAGCATACTAGGCAAGCTCTACCACTGAGCTACACCCTTAGTTCTAAATTTGTTCACTTTAAACAAAAAATTTCAATAATTCCCTTATCCTGTAGAACCAAATTTGTTATTTCACCAAATTTTCCACATGTATTCAATATAGGTATTTTTATAGCACCACGTTTACTCTTTAGATTTCTGTCTCTTGCAGCTTAAAGAACCTGCATTTTGGAGAAAACAAGGTAGGTCAGAGTAAATTAACATTTTATTTAATTTCTCTTTCATGTTTAGTTGCACAGCAACAGACTACTGTTCTGGTTGAAAATTTCTATGTTTAAGAAAGAAGCAACTAAGAACTGGTGGCTGTATTTTCACCTACTTGGGAGGCTGAGTCAGGAGAATTTCAGGTTTGAGAACAGCCTAGAAACTTAGCCAGATCCTACCTGAAACTAATAAGGTCTAGAGATGTAGTTCAGCACTCCCTAGGTTCAATCTCCAGTAACATGAGTAAAATGAAATAAAATAAAATAAAATAAAATAAAATAAAATAAAATAAAATAAAATAAAATAAAATAAAATAAAATAAGGAATTAAACAACTTAGGTACTTAAATTTTCAATAGGCTTTCGTTATTAACTAAGTTCTGTTGAAATTTCTTTCTGCCCTGACAGATACCCATTTATTTAAAGAGAAAGCTGGAATCCATTAAGTTAGAGTGTGAGGATAACTGAAGAGATTTACATAGTTTGCTAGTAAGAGTTGTTTGTTGGATCAAGAGTTATCAACACAAATTTGATCTTTTTTGTGTGTGAATTAGTCAAAGGCGTATCTCTCCTTCCCATCATCTGGGCCACAATCATTTTAGGAATATCTTGACTATTTATCCAAGGAAAAGGTAAGATAAAAAAAAAAATTACAGTAATTTTTTTGTATGTAGCTCTGAATTTTCATTTCTTTGTCACATCACAACATCCAAAACCTCTACACTAAATGTTATCTTGTCCTGTACTTGTGAGAAAAATTTTGTTGGGCTGGATCAATCCAGGTAAAAACAATGACGTTCAATGTGCCTGCATAAGGTATTGAAAATTCAGACAGAAAAGCCCTCTCCTTAATGACACAATTTAATTATTAAAAAATTACTGGCAAGGCTAATCTTACCTCTAAATTAATGCATATTTTAGGGGGAGTTTCTGTCATCAGAATCTGGGATTTTGGGGATTTTTTTTGAGACAAGGTTTCTCTATGTAGTTCAGGCTGGCCTTGAACTTACTATGTAACCCAGGCTGACCTCAAACTTGCAGTGATCCTCCTGCCTCACCCTCTCACGTGCTGGGATTACAGGTATAATCCTGGACTAAACTAATTTTATATTAAAAGTGACTATATAATTTTCTATTTTCAATTGTGGAAAAATAATTAGGGAAAAATAATTTAAATGGGCTCATATTTTCAAAACAATTCTAGAAGGCCTCAAACGTATTATTCAAATAATTATATGAAACAAATTAATCATGTGAAAAATTACCCAAGTCCAGTCATACTCTTCTTCTGAATGGTTCTATCTTATACATACTGAGATATCAATAAAAATTTCTGAAATAAATATAATGAACGTGACTTGACTTCCCCCAATGTTACTTATGTGGATTTTTTGTAAAAATGGTCGGCAATTTTTTTCACTCAAATAATGGGGCAGGGTAAGGTAGGAGGCTGTGTGAACATCACTGGCTGTCAGGAATGAACTCAGCTTTAAGTAACAATTGTGGTACTTAAAGAAAGTAATAGTAGTGATACTTTGAGACAGTTTAGAAGTAAAATGCTGACTTGTTCTCCAGAAATGAGGCCCCACAGCAGCTAAGAATATGGCCCTTGAACCAGTGTGTCTGGGTTGAAGGATTGGCCTAGGCATTTTGAGGGATTTTAGCAAAATGATTTGTGAAATTTTTTCACCTGAAAATGTTTACCAGTACCTATATCCCAAACAAATATTAAACTGATATAATGTATGTGGCCATATAAAATACTATGTGTCTGACATATAAGGTCATGTAGTGATGGAGACAATGATTTTTATTACCATTAAGTAAATTACTAAGATGTAATGTGATTATGATTACTTTTTTCCATTCCTAGGAAGACCAGATGCTAGACTTCTAAAGACCAAATACAGGCCACTTTGGCATGGTAGTTGTTAGGCATACATTTGAAAGTGAGACATTTAGTATACGAAGTAAACTTTTAGACCCTCTTACTAAAGCCTGTCTTCGAAAGCTTATATTTTGTGAAAATACTTAAAATTTCAGGGTATATTATCCCTTATGGAATAAATACCTATCTTTAGATCCTGAAAACAGTGAAACTCTAAAAGAAGATACAGGGCTGGGGATATAGCTCAGTGGCATAAGCGCCTGCCTGGCAAGCGCAAGGTCCTGAGTATGATTCCTGCTACTGGGAAGAGGAAGAGGAACAGGAACAGGAAGAAGATGGAGGAAGGAGGAGGAAGAAGAAGGAAGAAGAAGGAAGAAGAAGGAAGAAGAAGAAAGAAGAAGAAAGAAGAAGAAAGCAGAAGAAGAGGAAAAAGGAGAAGAAGGAAGAAGAAAGAAAGAAAGAAGAAAGAAGAAGAAGAAAGAGGAAGAGGAAGAGGAAGAAGAAAGAAGACTACAACAATCTCCACGGGAGGTAGGAGGATGGAAGTGACATTAATGTGTCTCAATGTGCGTAGAGTACATCCACCCACAGATAACATCCATGATAAAAGACAAAGGGGTTCCTTGGTTCCCAATTCATTCACTCCTCAACCCGGCCTATATATGCCAACCTGGAGAAAAAGGACAAAACATATAATCCCACACTCATTCTGCTGCACCCCTAACCCTTAAAAGGGTATGGAATAGTAGCCATCTTTGCACATGGAAGGCTGTTCTAGTTCTTTCTAACAACAAGACATTGCCATGTTTACACAAGCTACATCTTCCTGATTGGTCTGAGGGAATGACACAGGATATGGAGAACGAGAAAATGGCACAGGTGTAGGTCAGAGCCCTGATCTAGGAACTGTACACAAGTTGGAGCAGAAAAAGATCTCAAGAAAGAGAAAAATGTATGAGAAAGAAGTACACACAATGTGCCTTTCAAGGCCTCAGAGTTATGAGAGATTTGTGAGTCCAGGCAGTACCCCCAAAAATGACAAATTGCAACTGTTAAAGAACCATTAATCTAAGAAGTCTCTATGAGAGACATGATGGGTGATCCAGATTCCCAGAGTCAGTTCTGTGATGCTATGAGTATTGGAGCATTCATAATGGTTTGGCCCTGACAGTGGTATGAAGGGAAGAATGTGTCCTCCCCGATTTTGGCACTTTCTGCAATATGATACACTCTCAAAGGATGCTGCTGGGTGTGAAACGTCAAAGGGAAAGACAGGCATGTTGGCTGAGAATTAGTTTTTACTTTTTTTGTTTTTATTTTTATTTTTGGTACCAGGAATCGAACTTACGACTTTGCGCTTGCAAGGCAGGTGTTCTGCTGCTGAGCTAAATCCCCAGCCCGAGGATTCTTTTTTAAATATACCTTCATTTTTCCTCTGCATTTGAAATGTACCTTCATTATTATTATTTTTTTTTTTTTGGTTTTTCTCTGGTACCGGGAACCGAACTCACGACCTTGTGCTTGCCAGGCAGGCGCTTTGCTGCTGAGCTAAATCCCCAGCCCCTGAAATGTACCTTCATAGCAACTGCTCCCGGAAGATGACTTGGGCTCAGCTAGTGTTGAACTTGAGGTGCTTGGCTCATTTAGAGGAAAGTCCCCATGGACTGAAGTATGTGTAAGACTGCTGAAGAGAAGAGGACTCAAAGGATCTCCTGAACTTAATGCTGCATTCTTCAGTTTTTCAAGCTCCTCCTCTTTGGGCATGTCTTTTCCCTCAGGAGACAATGGTTCTTCTATAAGGGAAAAGACAAAGAGGATTACCTTCAACATATAACTTAAATACTATTAAAAAGTCAACAATCTCATTTATAACAATTCTTCATTTAATTCATGTTACACTGAACCATTAATTTCTAACTAAAAGTATACGGTCATTCCCTACTCATCATTTATAGTAATGGACACTATCTTGAAATCCAAATTAATTTTGTAACATCATCTATGTTTTCACAGAAATTTAGTGCCTCTTGCTAGTCTTTCTAGCAAATCTATCAAGATCTCACAAAAGGATTTGTTCTTAGAAATATAGTTCTTCACAACTACTTGCTATATATGACCACACAGTTAGTTTCTAACATTTGTTGACTACTTTAGCAGTAAACACTTACTGGAGAAAGTTACTAAGTTTTTCTGTTCTTTCTATCAGTCTTTAGCAATATAAACCTGAATACAAAGTTTATTACAGTATTTATTTAATCTATGGAAAAATAACAGTTGTGTGCTTTGAAGGGAATGTTATGCCCAAGCTGCCAAAGTAGAAGCCTAACTGCCAAATTCACCTGGGCAAATATATTTCCCTAACCACCAACACCATTACCCTAAGAGCATATATAGTTGGTAGAGGAAGAACTTTTCCTCCCATTCTTGGGACATGTAAAGATATTTACCTTTACAAACATGCATCATTGTTTTAGGCTGTTTAGGAGAGAGAGGAACAGTACAAGGCACAGGTTGCTGAGGAGATCGTTTCATGCTTTGCTTTTCTGGTATTTCTTGTTTCACTTATAAAAAAAAAAAGAGTCTGTTATAAATACTCTAGCATTTTCATATAATTTGCACAATAGTTCTCTTCCTAAATCATTTGCATACTGTTAACAATGTCAATCATTTGCTCATGAACAATGTGTTTACTGCCTTCTACTAAATATTCCTATTGAAATAACATTTAGGAGTAACACAGTATTTCTAGGAGAAATATATCTAAACTTCATTTACTCTTGGGTCATTAGATTTCCCTGAAAACCTCAAAAGACAGTGAGGCAACCCATTATGTGTCTCAAACGACCTGGGAAAATTGCTCTCATGAGCAAAAGGACTTAGGATTTGAGAGAAGGAGAAGATATATTACAGTGGACATTCTATGTTGTAGATAATCCTGACATATGGATTACAACTCTATTGCATATATATTATTCAAGAAAATACACTTCGACCTAAAGAAGCATTTCTTCAAGAATCATTCTGGAAGTACAAAGACCGTATCTATTACTGGTTTAATTTCCTTTATCTGAAATGTTTGGGACCAGAAGTGTTTCAGATTTTAGTTTTTTGGATTTTGGTATATTTGTATTGACTTTATTGGTTGAATATGCCTATTCCAGAAATCTGAAATGTAAAATGCTCTGAAACTTGAAACATTTAAAGCACTGACACAGTACTCAAGAAGTTTTGGACTTTGGAACATTTTAGATTTCCCATCAGGAATGTTCAATATATACACTGTAAGTATCAACTAATATCTAAGTTAAAATATACAACAAAAAAGACAAATAAGGTGTAATGGAAATTTTAAAAGTCTGATATTAGAACTCAAAAGAAAAGAAAGAGTGCCATGAGGAAGTACCAAAATCCAATTTTATCTGATTTAAAATTTTGTCTGGGGGTTAGGCATACATCTTAAAACTGTATATGAAATTAACTTTTAGCAATCCAGTTCCCAACTACACTTGAGTGTTAGTTTTAATCGTAGACTACTAAGCCAGTATGCAAAACATATTCCAGATGCATCATAAGTAATGCAATGTCTTCAATTAATTAAAACATTTAAATTCTAAGGAAAGAGGGCTGGGGATGCAGATTGGTGGTGGTGCACTTGCCTAGCACAGATGAGGTCTTGGGTTTGATCCTTATGATTGCTAGCACTGCAAAAAATAATTTCTAAAGTAAGAAATAACTGGATTTTTCATATTCATTTAATGATATAGAAGCTTTATATATTCTAGTGAAAAAATGTATGTATATCAGTGCTGAGGATTGAATCCAGAGACTTTGCACTGAAATATACCTCCATCTGTTTCTAAGATAGGGTCTCACTAAATGGCTAAGTTGTCCATGCTAGACGCCAACTTGCAGTCCTCTTGCCTCAGTTTCCCAAAGTGCTGGGATTACAGCTGTGTGTGCTACAATGCTCAGATTCAAAAAATCCTTTTCTACATAGATATTAGCTTGCCTCAGAATCTAGGCTATACTTTTTTTTATATATATAATATACTAATGTTTTTGAAAAATTTTCAGAGCTGGTGTATGGTCTACTATCTGGAACTGAACAAACATAAAATTAACTCTTGACTTCTCTTTCTGATTACTCTAGTAAACTAAGACAAGAAAGTTTTCCTACAGGGTTAACTAGGAAAAGCCAGATAATTTACAAAACACTTTATGAGTCATCATAGAAGGGAAGTTCCAGGATGACTCATGAAAGACTTCCTACAACTTTTGACATTAAAAACACTAGCAAAATTTGTACCAATTAAGTTTCAAAACTCTGGAAATTAAATAAAGGCTTGCCACACTCCCCCCAAAATGCTTATTCAAGGAAAATGGCTGAATCTCAAGGAAGAATGACACATCTGGTGGCATTTTAACTTGTTCGAATTTGATTCCTTTCAATCCATTCTCACAGCAGCCTTGAAAACTAACAACTTCACAGCTACAGTAGGTGTTAAAACCAGTAGCTTAGCAATCACTGGAGGGGGCACAGTAGCTTTGGATCTCTTCACAAGCCCCATTTCCAGAGAATTATCATTATTTTACCAGTCTGAAATGCTCTTTCTGGGCTTATTTCTATCTGATCTGAATCAGAGCTTGCTCTGTGTGAACACCTCTATTCTAGGGCATGTGTTAAGAAAAAAAAAAATAGTGATTATTTAACTTTATAGTGCAGGAGGCAGCATTACCAGTTGGGGCTGAGAAAAGGTTGACTGAAAGTTTTAAAAGAAAAAAAAATTGGATAACGAGATGCTCATTAACAGACTTTGAAAAGCACCCACATATTTCTGGGATTCTAGAAAGACACATGTAATGCGTAGGGCTGTATGTAAGCCCAGGGATGATTTGAGAAGGCCCAACATTTTGAGAGTGTTTAAGTTATGATCAACACACACAAAGAATCTCTTGGCAAAGGCAGGGAGATGCCCCGATTCCAGGCATATAAACATTAGCTTACCATTAATGCTCATGGAGCAGCCTTCAGTAGCACATACAACAAGAATGGAGACTTCATGAAGTTAGTCTAGGTAAGTCACTAAATCAAAATTACCAGCAGTGACAACAAAATCTAAGGAGAAGGAAGTATTCTAATTTCCAGAATTGCCCCACTACATTAAGGTATTTACTTTCCAACAAAAAATTATGAGATATGCAGGAAAAGCTTGGCCTATATACAGGGGAACAACAACAACAACAACAAAAAACAAATAGAAACTGTCCCCAAGGAAGCCCAGACATTAGATTTATTGACAAAGACTTTAATTCTCAGATAACAGAAACAGAATTCTTCACTGACAGGGTTATTCTATAAGAAATTTTACATTAGCCAGAGCAATCAGGCAAGAGAAAGAAATAAAAGGGATATAAATAGGAAAAGCAAATTATCATTACCTGTAAATGACATGACACAGAAGACCCAAAAAATTCCATGAAAGGACTCCTAGAATTACCAAATTCAGTAGCATAGCAGAATACAAAGTCAACACATGAAAATCAATAGCATTACTGTACACCAATAATAAGCTTACCAAGAGATAAATTACGAAATTAATAACACTCACAATAGCATCAAGAAAAATTACTTAGGAGGGGCTAGGGATATCGCTCAGCGGCTCAGCGGCACAGTGCCTGCCTGCTAAGTGCAAGGTCCTGACTTCCATTCCATTCCAAAAAAAAACAAAAAGGAAAGAAAAATTACTTAGGAATTAAGGTAACCAAAGAAGTAAAAGACTTCTGTAACAAAAACTACAATAGTCTTCCAAAAGGAGATCCAAGGGCACATCAGAAAATGGAAAGATATTCCTTGTTCCTGGATAGACAGAATCAATATTGCTAAAATGCTCACATTACCAAAACTGATGTATGAATTTAATGCAACCTCAAAATACCAACAGCATTCCTCACAGAACTAGATAAAGCTATCCTAAGATTTACACTGAATCAGAAGAGACCCTGCTAGTCATATTACAAAGCTACAGTGACAAAATAGCATGATGCTGTAAAAAAACCCCAGACATGTTGATCAATGAAACTGAATAGAAGATGAAACTGAATAGAAGAAACAACTTCAGGCACATTCAGCTGCCTGATTTCTGACATAGGGGCCAAAAACTTACACTGGAGAAAAGATATACCCTTTAACAAGGGTCTGTCTTGTGCTGGGACAACTGGCTATACACATGCAAAAGGCTGAATCCAGACCCATATTTTTCATCATGTACAAAACTAAAATCAAAATGGATCAAATATCTAAATGTTAAAACAGAAACATGCAATCTACTCGGGAGATAAAATGGTAAAACTCTTGAAGACTGGCATAGGCAAGGATTTGCTGAACAGAATTTGAGCTGCAACAGAATTAATACCACGAATCAACAAATGGAATCTGTTAAATTAAAAAGCTTCTGCATAGCAAAAGAAACAAGCAACGGAGTAAAGAGATAACCTACAGAATAGGAAAACAATCTTGCCAACTATTCCTCAGAGGACTAATATCTAGAATATTAAAAATTACTAAAAAAAGTTAGACACACTCAAAATAAAAGACCCAATCAAAAAATGTGCAACTGAAATGAATGGACACTTCTCAGAAGAAGTAGTACAAATGGCCAGTAAATACATGAAAAACTGTTCAATGTCTCTGGCTATTAGAGAAATGCAAATTAAAACAACGGTGACAGTCCATCTTATTTCAGAATTACGGCTATCATCAAGAAATCAAATAATAACAAATGCTGGCTAGGCTTCAGGGAAAAAGGGAACCCTTATTTATTGTTGGGGCGAATTAAAACTCATACAACCATTGTGGAAATCTATGTGGAGATTCCTCAGAAAACTAAAAGTAGACATTCCATTCAACCCAGCTATTTCTCTCCTAAGTATCTTCCTAAAAGACTTGAAGATATTATATTACAGTGATACATGCTGCTATGGTTTGTGTCTAGATGTCCCCCCAAAGCCTCATGAAGTCACAGGTGGGGTTTTTTCAGAAATGGTTGGATTTAGAATGTGTGATGCTAGTATTGATTCATGATGTAATGCTAGGCTCAAGGGCACTAGGATTAAGGGTGTGCATGCTACCTGCTCTAAGTAGTCTGGGTAAGATAAAGGTGATAGAAAGAGCTGTGGTTGTCCCCTGCTGCTTTGCTACCTTCTGCCTGCCATTAACTGTTTCTCCACTGTAATGCCATCCTGCCTTGGAGCCAGCTGATCATGGACTGAAATCTCCACAAACTGTGAGCTAAATAAATGTTTTCTCTGTGTGTCAGGTATTTTGTCTCAGCAACAGGATAAGTAACTAAAACATGGACATACCCATGTTTACAGTAGCATGACTCACAATAGCTAAATCTTGGAAGTGGCCTATATGTCCATGAACAGATAAATGAATGAATAAAGTGTACTTACATACAATGGATACTACTATGTCACAAAGAATGATAAACTTGAGTTATTTATAAAAAAATGAATGAATCTTGAAATTGTAACATTAAGTGAACTAAATAAGACACACAAGCTCCAATATTACATGGTTTCTCTTATGTGGGAAACCCAAAATATAAAGAACAAGATAAAAAGATACATAATAGTAAAAAAATGGAAGAAGGGAGAGGAAGGACAAGGAAAACAAAATGCAGCCAGGAGGCAAGGGAGAGGAAAGGGATGTAAAGAAGATGTGTTACTGCATGTACTGAATCCACACAGTGAATGTAATCATTATGTAGTGTAGACATGTAGTAATAAAAAAAAAAAAAAAAAAAGAGGACCAGTAGATGTATTTTTGGTTGTAACCCTTTTCTTTTCCCTCCTCATTTAAAAGTCTACCACATAAAGAATATCTGGGAGGCTGATCCACAAGAATCTCAAGTTTAAGCCTAATCTAGACAACTTGGGCAGATCCACTCTCAGAATAAAAATAAAAAAGGGGCTGGGGATATAGCTCAGTGTGAGAGGCCTGAGCTCAATCCCCAGTACCTTAAAAAGAAGACTAATTATTACAACTGTGTTGTTGAGTATATAATGTATAGAGGTCTAATTTGTTTGAAAAAAATCGCACAAAGAAGGGGGAGGAAACAATTTCAGTACATTGGGGCAGTTTTTACATAATATTAAAATTGAATTGATTCAAATCCAAACTAGATTGTCTTAAGAAGCTAAGTATAATCTTCAAGTAAACAACTAAGAAAATGACTAAAAAATACTACAACATACATTAGGATAAGTAAAATTATATATAGTATAACAAAAGAAGGGTTGATGGAAGACTAGAAGATGTAAAAGATGTAAGACATATAAAAAATAAACAGCAAAAGGTAGATGAAAATTCTACTGTATCAGTAATTATATTAAGATAAATGAAATAAACACTCCAACAAAAAACCTGAGATGGTAGAAAGAGGGAAAAACCCCCCGATGACCCAAGTATCATACTTGTACTGTAAGAGACGTAAGTTAGGCTGTTAACATATGTTAAAATCTACAAATAGGTATTAGTAAAAGATTGGAAAAATATACCATATACATAGCAACCCCTCCCAAAGTTGAACTACTATACTATCAGACAAGATATGCTTTAAGAGAAAAATTGTTATTAGACACAAAGGATGTTTTAGCACATTAAAAGGGCCAATCCATTAGGAAAGTGTAACAGTTTTATCTGTGTACTTAACAACAGGACTCCAAGACAGATGAAGCAAAAATTGAAAGAAATGAAGGAAAAATACAATAGCTTAACATAATAGTTGGCGACTTCAATATCTCAACATTCCATAATGGAGAGAACAACTAGGCAAAAGATCAAGAAAGATATAGAAGACATGAACAGCACTATATAATAATAAGACCTCACAGATATCTATAGAACCTTTCATTCAATAAAAGAGGAACACATACTCCTCTAAAATGTGCATAAATCATTCTGAAGAGTGCATTATACATTGGGCCGTAAGTGAAGGGTGGACTATATATTGGGCCATAAGTCAAGTCTTAGTAAGTCTGTAAGTACTGAAATCACATAAAGCACATTCTCTAACCACAATGGAAAACTAGAAATCAGCAATTTTTAGTCAGTACATTCAAAATATCAGAGGAAAATAAAGACAGAAGAAAAATATATCACCAGAGAATATTTTTTAAAAATGAGCATTTGAGGTGAATAGACATTTCTCTGAAGAAGTAAAAATGGCAAATAGATATATGAAAAAATGTTCTAAATCTCTGGTCATTGGAGAAATGCAAATTAAAACTACAATGAGATTCCATCTCACTCCAGAAACAATGGCTATTATCAAGAAAACAACCAATAGCAAATGCTGGCGGGTAAGGAAAAAGGAACTCTTCTTCATTATTGGTGGGAGTACACACTAGTACAATCAGCGTGGAGAGGGCTCAAAAAATTAGGAATAGAGGTCCCATTTGACCCAACTATTCCCCTTCTGGGTATCTTTCCAGAAGAATTTTAAGCATCATACCACAGTGATACGTGTGCACCCATGTTTAAATTTTTTTTTTTTTTTTTTTTTTTTGGTTTTTCTCCGGTACCGGGAACCAAACTCACGACCTTGCGCTTGCCAGGCAGGCGCTTTGCCGCTGAGCTAAATCCCCAGCCCCCCATGTTTAAATTTTAATGAAAAATATTTAAAAAAAATTTTAAAAGAAAGTGGCTTGTAGGATGGTAAATAAAGGTAACCACTTTGAAAAACTGATGGTATCTACCAAAGCTAAACCAATGCACTTCCTATGACCTAGCAATTCCACTCCTAGAAAGATATAGGAATAGAAATGTATATACATTTTACCAAAAAACACATATTAGAATATTCACAATAACACTATTAAGGCACCAAACACAAAGTACTTAAATCAATATATAAAATAATAGGATATTTTTACAACAGAATTTTATACAGTCAAGAGAATAAATGATCTCATTATATACAATACAGAAAAATCTTATAACAGTGAGTAAAAAAAGCTAGATACAAAAGAATACGAGGTCTATTATTTTTACAAAGTTCAAAAACTAATATATGGTACCAGAAGTCAGGACAACAGTTACCTTTATTGAGGTTGAAGAAGAACAGTGGATGGAAGGGGTTTGACATATTAGGGGTGCTTTTTGAGTATTGGTACTACAGTGGCACCTCAGTTCACAACCAGACAACCAGAATCATGGAAAGAATTAAATTTGTGAACTGAAGCACCACTGTATCTACTTCTTCAGCCAGAACCTTGTTATTGAGTTATGTTCACTTTGTGAAGCTGTATTCCATGTGTATTTTTCCCTAGGTATATTATATTTCAGTCATGTCTTTAAAATAATTATTGCTAAAATATGAAAACACTGAATTTGTCAAAATTAAAATCTAAGCGCACTTTGTCTTAAAAATATTTTTAGTTCCTTATTCAAAAAATGTAGAACAAATGGAGTAATGGACAAGGAATCTTAGAAGAATCAACTTTATAATATTTATATGCAATTTCTTTCACTGCAAGCTAACTAAACAAAAACTAATATAAAAGTTCCAATCAAATTCATTTTCAAATGGCCAAACTAAGCTGTGACCAAACTGATCAAAGTTTAAAATGCTATCATTTTATTATTCAATGTATTCTGCCAAACAGTAACATATCCCAGTTATTTACCTAAAAATTCGAACATCTTGTGCTGAATTTTAAAAGAACAAATACACATTGAAGTAGACAAGCCTTTCTTCCAAGAAAAACAACACATTAGCCTAGAAGTTCAAAGAGCTTTCTTACTTTAAAAGAGCAGAACCACCTTTGGTTGTACAGCACTGCCTTACACAGATCCTCTCATTCATGTATCAGTTGAGGGTTTGTATGGAAGAAAGGGAACCAAGGGAACCAAGCCGATCATTGTTGACAGCCAATGGGCTCAATATGCTTTCCTAACTTCTTAGAATTAAGGTTAGTAACTTTAAAGCTCCATTTCAATCTAATAGAAAATATACAATTCTGTGAACTAGTCACGAAGAAGCCAAACGTAACTTCGTTTTCATTCCAAGTTTATCAGAAATACAAAAAATACCTATCTGTCATCTTCTTTGTGGTACTAGGGAATGAACTCTTGGCCTTCACACTAAGCTTTATCCCCAGCCCTTTTTTACCTTTTTTTCTTTTATTGAGACACAGTCTTGCTAAATCACAAAGTTGCTCGGGCTGGGCTCAAACTTGTGATCCTCCTGTCTCAAACTCTTAAGAGTGAGCGCTAGAATTATAGGCAGGTGCCACCATGCCCAGTTTATTTTCCCGCTTTAAATGAATAAAAACAGCTATACATTATACATTTCTAATTAGCTATCTGTTGCTAAAACGTTTACTTTGAGGACAAAAAAAAAGAATTACACAGTATTCTCAAGTTAAGTACAAAATAAATAGAAGCATAGTATAAAAATTACATTTTCTCTTACCTGATATATTTTTATCATGCTCTACAGTGCTTTGGGTATTACCCCTGCAAGAGCTGAAAGGCTTGCTACTCAAAAGGTCATCACATTGCATGCTATGGCACAAAGTCTCAAGAAAGCGAAGAGCAAAGGATGCACTATTCACCGGAGGCAGCTGGACGGAATGAGTTTCCCCATCAAAGGAGGCTATTTACAGAGAAAGAGATGTCAGTCATCTTACAAAGAAGAAAGAAGTACAATGCAAACAAAAACCTCCACCAGTTTAGGAAATATATGACAAATTTAATTTGGAGTTTTTGTAATTCATAAAGGAATAAAATTGTAAAAGTTCTCACTCAAGCACTATCTTGTGCTGGTAAAAACACTCTTACTTAAAATATTCACAAAATAAACAAAAACAACAGAAACTCCATGAATCTATACCAACAATTATTTCTATTCCAAATAGCCATAGGCAAAAATGTGGTATCAAATCATATAAATATGGAAACCACTGCTGTATCTTTTCTCTTAATGAGTTCTTAAATCACATTTTTATTTAAAGCTTCTTATAGAGTAGCCTGTTTTCTATATAAATTAAAACATAACCAAAGTAATGTCTACATTAAGCTTAACATAGCATATAAAAGGAAAAATTTGTATCTTTTACCTTAATTTACAGTATTACTCTGATATCACTTGTCTATTTTGAAGGTAAACTTTTCAAACCAGGGTTAAAAGTCTATAAATATATAACTATTATGCATACTCTATAAGTCAAATATTACAGCATAATTAGAATATAGATATAATGAATAGCCTATATGTTATAAAATCCTAGCATCTAACCTTAGAATCAAATTTGGAAAAGAAACTGCACAGAGAATTAGTTTAGTTTACCAGTTATCACTTCTCCCCCACGATTATCTGGCTTAAGAAATCCAAAAACAGTCTTTGATTCAAAGGCAGAATCCACACAGGCTTGCACAGTCCGCCGGAGTACCACATTCACAGGACCAGGGCCAAAATGATCAGGCAGCTGCTGGATTTTCCTTGGGTCCAGGTGAGGGCCAGTGTTTCCATGTTTGTTTATATAGACACAAACTTGAGGAAAATATGTATACAGATATAACAAGATTGATTAAAGGGATATTTGTGAAAACACTATGCAATTACTACACCAAAAAAGTTACTTCACTTAAAAGAAATCTAGATATAGTTAGCATCAATGGTCACTTCTGCTATCTATGTAGGTAAATATGTGTGTAAAGATATTAAACATACAAAGAAATAATAAAAATGTTTATTCAATATTTTAGAACTTTGCCCAAAATGATTATATTAAAAACTATACAAGTTTAAGAAGCATCAGAAAAACCATTCTTCATACATTTAAACATTATATAAAATGGCATAAAAATATTTGAAGATTCTCCTCTTTTAGTTGTATACATAGTACAAGAATTTCCTTTCAAAACTGGTCATTTTGATATATGCTTTTTGGACTGAATTTCCTTTTAAGTCATTAACATTGAGCCTTAATTATATTTTCTGAACTAACCAATTTAAGGTACGTATCAGTATAAATTCTGATAATATAGAGAAATTAGTTTCGTTAATTTTAAGAAAATAAAAACATTTCTTCTATATATGCCAATTTGGTTGAAGAGAAGAAATTTAAGTTTACTGGTTTTTTGGTTCTTTTTTTTCTTTTTTTTGGCTTTTAGAGACAGGGTCTTGCTATGCAGTTCAGGCTGGTCTTGAGCTCACTTTGCAGCCCAGGCTGGTCCTGAACTCGCAATAATCCTCCTGCCTCAGCCTTCCGAGTGCTGGGATTACAGGCATGCGCCACCACACCCAGCTTACTGGTTCATTTTAAATATACATAAATGATCACATTCATCATAGGGAATTTGTACCAACACACAGTAACAAAATAACAACACGGACAAAAACAAAACAAGGCAAAAACAATAAAAATGATACAGGGCTTCAAAACAAAATGATAGGAATTAATAGTGGTTGTTATATTACATATTGTTATCTTTAACAAAATTGCTCAGATTATCAGATGTAAGAATGCAAGATTGATCAAACAATTAAAGAGAATAAAAAAAACAACAGAAAAACATTAGACTGCCAGATATACGCATGTAAAATTGGTCAAAAAAATTAAGCATTAACGTTTCAATAAACCATTAGACATTAGCAGTACAATTATCCCAGCTATCCATATATATATCTTTCCATCCTTTTTTCTCCTTTCCCTCATCCCAGTTGTTTCTTTTGAGCAATTTCTTTCCCTTTCATAGTATCTATTGTATGTCTTGGGTTTTATTTACTCTTTCAGGCTCTTACACTAGGGAGACAATACAATGTTTACACATGTGGGTCCAACTTATTTCACTTATGAGTATGGTCACTAGTTGCATCCATTTACCTATAAAAGCTTCGAGTTCATCTTTTTTAAAGCTGAATAATATTCCATTGTATAAAAGTACTGTATCCTTTTTATCCATGCCTCAGTTAATATCCTTTTTCCCATTCCTCTCACCTCCCCTCCCTTCAACCCCTCTTGCCCTCCTTATTTACAAAGCTTTGTTTCCATTTTATCCTTCTTTTCTTACCCCTCCCCCCGTTCCCCTTTCCTTTTGAATAATTTCATCCTATTTCACAATATCTATTATACATCTTGGTTCTCATTCACACACTTTCAGTTTCTCATACCTGAGACACAATGTGATACTTATACATGTGGCCTGATTTATTTCACTTAAGAGTGTGGTCTCAAGGTACACTCACCGAGAAATGTCTCAAGTTGATCCTTCTTTGTGGCTGAGTAATACTCCACCATATAAAAACCCTACATCTTCTTTATTCATTCATCAAGTGATGGGCACTTAGGTTGTTTCCAAGGTTTAGCTATTATAAATTGTGCTGCTAAAAACATGGGTGGGCATACACTGCTGTGGTATAATGCCTTTAGTTCTTTTGTGAAGATACCAAAAGGGAATAGCTTGGTCAAATGGGATCTCTAGTCCTAGTATTTTCAGGACTGTTCACACTGATTGCACTAGTCTACACTCCTCCCAACAGTGAAGTAGGGTTCCATTTTCCTCACAACCCTGCCAGCATTTGTTATTGTTTGATTTGAAGAAAATTTTAAAATAAACTTTCCTAGTATAATAAGGCATATGACAGAAAAGTAATCCATTTATATCACACAAAGCTCAAGTTTCAATAATTTTTATAAGAATCAATCTAACTATGAAAATATCAAGGTATGTCATTATCAAAACTATTGCCCTCCGGCTGAGCACAGTGGCACATGCCTACAATCCCAGCACTCGGGAGGCTGAGGCAGGAGGATTGTCACAAGTTTGAGAGCAGCCTGGGCTACAATGTGAGCTCAAGGGCAGCCTGAACTGCATAGCGAGACCCTATCTCAAAAATACAAAAACAAATAAGAAACTATTGCCCTCCTAAATCAAGAAGCACAGTATTTCATCCATTAGTTTATAAAGTAACTTTTCATATATTAGTACACTTCTGTTTTGACTGCAACGTATGACCCAATACAGCAGGTTAGTTTTTCACTCATGGTATCCTGTCAGTACTCAAAAGGTTTTGGATTTTGGAGCATTTCAGATTTCATATTTTTGGATTATACACGGTCAACTGGTGTTCATTTGGCTAGTCTCTCCTGCTGATAAGACTAAAAATCAGAAATAATAAACTAAAAAATGAAGTATGTCAGAACAATCACTTTAAAGTGATTTCTATTTCAAAAAAAATTGTTATATTTTCCTAAAAAATATTGGAGAAAAAAGTCCAGGAAACAGTGTAAGGGAGATAATCAAGGATCTATGAGAGAATGCAACAGAACACACTTTTTAAAACCAGAAATAAGGAAATAATAGATAAAAAGGAGTGATTTGCTCAGGTATGTGTTGGATCAAACTCTTCCCATACCAGACAACAATTTAAGGTTACCATTCTCGACAGGCAAGGATTTACTGAGAAAAAGTATTTTCAAAAGGCATTAAAAACAGGCTTCAGGTAGCTTGAAAATACATACAATACAAAAAGACAAAATAAAATCTGGATAAAGGGAAAACAAGAACAGATTTGCCAATGACAGAAATGCTATAAATCCTACTTAAATGGATCAAATGATGTAAGGATATTGAGTCTTCAAATTACATATTTAAACAGATTCTCTCTAACATCAAATTGACCAATCAGCATTATAAAATATTATAAAAAATGCTAAAAGAAATGTTTACTATTGCCCTTTTTTCTTTTTCATCTTAGGACTCTAGAAATAGGTAATTTTATAGCTCTTTGAAAAATACTGATTTACCTGTGGACATCACGATTTTTGATGGTGCAGGATTGATATTCTTATCATGTGAAATTCTTGCCAGTGTTCTTAGAGAGGTTGTAGATGTAGAACATAAGACAGGAATAGATTTTTCCTGTTAAATAAAAAGAACACAAGCACACATTACGCTTTAAAAACTTGCTTGATAAGAAAGTAAAAAAAAAAAAAAAAGAATTATAGGCATCGTTGGTTCACAAAATTACCAGTTATCAGAAATGTTCAAGGTTGGAAAACACTGTATCAGTGATAGAGAACCTTTTAGAGATAAGTGCCCAAACTGCAACCCAAAACCCACCTATTTATCACGAAGTGCCAACATTGCAATTAAACCTGAATCCTGAAGTTTTAGTTTAGGAAAAACTCACACAATAACATCTTTTGTCTTAAAGGAAAAATAACACACGTGCCATAGGTTCATCATTATTGCACAATATGCATCATGAACTGCAAGTACATTTGAGGCTAAGATTCCCTGCCCTGTATCTTGCTCCAAATGATCACATCTTAGTCAAATTAGCTCACTCTTTAAAAAAGTTTTATTTTCTTAAATTCCCTGTAAGGTAAGTTTTTTTCTTCTCACATTGCTAAAGAAAAGTCTAGAAGTCTCTTTCTAATAAGGGGGGGAAAAATCTCAGTAAGGTGGAGGGCTTTAGAAAGCATTTGCTTATCCCCTGTGTGTCACTTGAATTTCTCCATTGTACATACAACAGTCATTTTGACAAAATTACAAAAGCCTTGCTAAAGTTCATACAAAATTATGCCTATAGTACTAAGTATCAAATGTCTCCTGAGTACTATTAAACATCACCATGATGTTTCCTTTTGTTTCATAAAAATCCAAAATCCAAGGTTTTGGATTTTCTTGGAGCTTTTTTCAAACACTACTCTTTAATATCAGAAAAGGGACTCTTACATGTAGAAAAGGTAATACCATAGTAGAGAACACTTAAAGGCAGGGACAAAGGAATGAAAACACAGAATAGTATTCAAAGGTGTTGAAATGTGTTTGAATGATTACCATTTATGTTTACAGTATTCTAGTAAATATTTTTATTTTTTCATATTGAATTATAATTACTGTCATTTATCTTACTCTCATTATTTTAAAATCTGAATGCCTTGACTTGAGATATATTAAGACAGTATGAGCCGTGCATGGTGGCACACACATATAATCCTAGCACTTGGGGGGCTGAGGCAGGAGGATCGTTGTGAGCTCAAAGCCAGCCTGGGCTGCAAAGTGAGCTCAAGGCCAGCCTGAACTACATAGTGCGACCATGCCACACACACACAGAAAAAGACAGTATTTTTGCATCAACATTGGAAACTGAATAAAGCTACACTTACTTAGAAATCACAATTCCGTATGTCTAAAAATTCTTTTTTCAAAAAATGACAGTTTGCAAAGCAGAGACTACTCCACATAATTTTTACTCAGTTCAGAGACTTCATGTATATTTCAACTATAAACATGGCCAATAGTGAGACATGAATATAGATAAATGTATGAGAGTCTTCACCTTTTCATGATGAAATAAAGAAGCTAAAGAAGATGAAACTGAACCAAAATATTGCCTTTGAAACTACAGTTATTAAAACAAGACTACAGTACCTATCCCTTATCTCTCCTTATCACAATAAACAATGTTTTCTGCAAAAACTCTTTATATTTATCAAATTAGCACTGGAAATGAAAAAGTTAGAAATTATTTGAAATTATCTTATGTCTTTTGCCTTTATACTAACCAAAATACTGTCCAGCAGCTGGAAAATATACATGTTTCTTAATTTTAAAAATGTATTTAAAATATTTCACTTTACGTTTCACTACTAAATTTTATTTTTAAATTTAAACTTTAACCTGATATAGTTCACATTAGAATAATCTGCTTGATTTTTCAATGTTTATAATTATATACTTAAAATACAGATTAACTTATTTTATAAATTTTGAATGACTGTATAAATACCACTATTTATAAATATTTTAAAATCAGGATGGTACTGTTACTTTGTTCCATCAGTAACATCATTTGAAACAAAACAGAAATGGTATAAATACTGATATTAGATGGATGAATATCTAAGGAAGCAATAGTGAAACTTTCAGAGCTTGTGATACTACACACAGCCCACTGTGGCATGCGTGGCACAAGTCCGCCATCACTAGAAGGCAATGCTGCTGAAATTTAATCCAATTAACCTCAACAGTGGTGAGATTCAGTCCTTTTAAAATGCATCTCTTGTACACAGGATATATTTGAGTCTTTTAAAAATCCATGTCATAATCTTTTAATTAGAATTTAGTCTACTAATGTCTAATGCAATTATTATTATATTTGCATCTGGGCCTACCATTTTATTATTTGTTTTGTATTTGTTTTTCTCCGTATTTTGTTCTTTTGTTCCTTCTTTTTAGTGTTTTCTCTTTTTCTCTGAACACTCAGAACTCCACTGTAATTTTCTTCTTGTCTTGCTTTACTTTTTTCTTGTTACATGGTACTGGGGATTTAACACAGGGCTTCACAATGAATTATATCCCCAGCATTCTTTAAAACTGAGACCAAGTATTGTTAACTTGACTGGACTGGACCCAAACTTGTGATCCTTCTGCCTCCGCCTCTCAGAGCGCTGGGATTATAGGAGTGTGGCAGCACACCAGACCACCTACTAGCTTTTTAGCTATATGGTACGTTTTTGCATTTCTTTAACATCATGCACTAGAGATGACAGTGTACATTTTAAACTTCTATAGTACATATAAAGTTAATATTATACCATGTCACATAAAATGCTGAAACTTTGCAATAGATATAGATTCATATTCCAAACCTGAGCCCATTATACCACAATGGTTTTATATATTGTATCTATTTATGATATAAGCTCTAGAGGATTATGATTATTGATACAGTCATATAATTATAAAAAATTATGAGGAAAAAAGCAACAACATTTGCATTTACTCAGAGATTATCATTTTCAAAGCTATTAGTTCCTTTTTGAGGATGTGCATTTTCTACCTGGTCTCATTTTTTGAAGTCTGATGAACTTACTTTTAGCATTTCTTCTAGTGTTTCCAGGGATGAATTCTCTTAATATGATTTGGATGAAAAATATCTTTAGTTTAATTGTTTAAAGCAAATTTATTTATATTTTTATGTTGTTTCATATGAAAGTATTGAGGGAAGATTTCATTCATAATAGCAAAGAAAATAATGAAATATGCAGAAATGGATATGAATAAAACTAAATGAACAACTGAATGACATAAAGAAAATTCTAAGACTCTAAGAAATCTTTTCTTTAAGATTTGTTCTTTATCTCTGGTTTTCCACAGTTTGACTCTGATACGTCTTAGCTTAGACTTTAGTTTGTTCTGGTTGTGTATTGTCTCTATACATGGCTATCTCTCATGAAACCGGAAAATTTTGAGATATTATTTCTTCAATACTTTTTCTGCTCAGTTTCTTTTTCTTTTTGGACACCAACTACATATGAGTTCAATCTTTGATATTACTTAAATTTTAGTATCTTAAAAGGTCCCTGATGCTATTTCTTTTCTTCCTCAGTCTTTTTAATTTTACCTCAGTGCTTGACATTGGATAATTTCTATCTACCAGTTCCCTTGCTCTTTCTTTTGTCATCTCCAGTCAATTCCTATTAATTGTATACAGTGATTTTCAATACTTGAATTTTCATTTGGCTCATTCCTATCCTTTCCGCTTCTCTGCTACAACAGCCTATTTTTTTAGTCCCTGCAATTATGTGTAAGTATGCGCTTTTAACTTCATCAAGGACAATTTTAATAGCCATTTCAAAATTTTTGTTTGCTAGTTCCAACATCAAGGTCATAAATGTGTTCATTTTACTATGTGTTTTGGGCATTTGTGGACTATATTGTAGACAATAGCAATGTTAATTTATGTAGATTCTGGATTCTATTTTTCTCCCATGGGTGTTCTCATATTTTAACAGAAAATTATCTTGGTTTACTTTAAATTCTGATCTTGGGCTTGACTCCAGTCTCAGTGCAAAATTTTTGCTTTAGCTAAGCTGTTCTCTGTATTATCCACATGTTTAGATGAGTGGTCGGGAGAGATGTTGTTAGATGGTTTGGAGGTCTCCTCTCCTCTCTGGCTCTTTCCCCTTCTCTACACTCTCTCAAATGATTTCAGGAGCCACAGTTTTCCTGGATTCTATTGTCAGTTTCCTCATGTCAGATAAATGGTAGCCTTCCCATCAACATCACTGCATATGTTACACATAGGCACATATTACACAAAGTAATGCTAAAAACAACAAAAATGGAAATTCACTTTGTATAAGACCCCTTTCTTTAGATTGTACTTTGTCTGCCACCAAAATCTATCTGCTTCAATTCATTCTCCAGTGCATCTTCAATTAGCTGCTTTTTTTTCCTATTATTTCTGGATTTTAGATGTATTTTCTTTGGGTGAATCAAGTAGAATGTAACTCAGTGTCTCAGTGATGGGAAAGTAAATTAAGACAGATTTATATTTAGATGTCCCCAAAATCCTCATGTGCTCATGGGGGGTGATTTGGAGGTTGGAGGTGACTGGATCATGGGGGCACGATGCTTACCAGTGGATTAGTCTACAGATAAGTTTATAGATAAATGTGATTTGGGAGGTGAAGCCTTGTTGGAGGAAGTGGGTCACTGTGGGCATGGCCTGGAAGGGTCTATCTCTTTCCCTCTTCCTTTCATCTCTCTCTCTCTGCTTCCACTGCCATGCCATGAGCTGATTCTCCTCTGCTTATGGCCCTCTGCAATCCTGGCCTGTCTTGGAAGCAGCCAACTCTGGACTGAAATCTCTATGAGCTATGAGCCAAAATAAGCCTCCTCTAACTTGTGAGTGCAGGGTACTGTTTCTAAACAAGTAGAAAGTAAGACAGATTTTGGTACCAGAGTGGGGTTGTTTCTGTGATGCTACCTAACCATGTGGTTCAGAAGCCTTTAGAACTGGCTTGCAGGAAGAATTTGGAATGTTTGGAGATGCTGGCTGGAGAAGTAGCCCTAGGATCCTGAGCCACATTTGACAGGAGATTCTGGTCAGAACTCAGAAAACAGTATTCTTGGTGGTGATGTAGCTGCAAAAGACCAAGCTCAAGAGGTTTAAGTTGGGAAGAACAACTCCACTGACAGATGGACTCCAGGCCTGTGTGTTATGTTCTGGTAGAAAATTTGTCTGCACTTTACTCGGGTCCAATCAATTTGTGGAAGTCTGAGATTTAGGATAATGGACTATTAAACTAGTGGAGGAAATTTCAAGGCAGCCAAACATTCAGGCTGTGGCTTTGGGAGCTGCTGGGGTCTTTTATCCAGCTCTACACTGCAAATTAAGAGCAAACAGCAGAGCAGAATGATTTAAAGTTTTGAGTTTGGCCAGAAAGGAAAAGTTGGGGCCTGCAAAGATGGTGCAGAGGAGAACTTGGTGGCTGGAAAGATTAGCATTAAAACGCCACGCTCTCTTTTTTTTTCTCTCTCAACTTTAGTGCTTGTGAATGGGATGAGCCATTGAAAAGGTCATACAGTTCAGAAGAAAGGAACAGAAATAAGTGAGAAAATGCTTCCTCTCCATATTGATGAACCACGCTACCGTGATCATCCAAAAAGTATTAAACATCTTATAAGAGAGTTTACTGCCCATGTGGGCTTAAATTATACAGCAGGTGGTATGTGAACACTTAGAAGAGGTTGTGGTTTTCCATTTAAAGTAAACATGTTAGCAGGGTTGGTCACAAAATAAAATTGCTGAAATAAATGTGAAACAAGTCAAACTCACAGAATTCAGAGGAAAAGGGCAAAGAAATTAAAAGGAGGGAAAAAAATATGTAGAGAGCTTGTCCAGAAGATAAAATCTACATATAATATGAATACCTGAAACAGAGAAGAAAGCAAATGAAGCTGAAATAATAATTAAGGAACTAACTGAAGAAAACTTTCCAGAGTTGAAGAATGAAGTAGGCCTACAAATGAAGAAGGCTCACAGAGTATCTTTAAAATTTCATGAGAAGGAAACAAACATATCCTTATGACTTCTTAAAATTTCAATAATAAAGAGAAAGTTTTGCAAGTATTCCAACAGAATACGTTACCCATAAAGGGACAAAAGTCACAGTGACCTCAGGTTTTTCTCTTACAATTCTAAATGCCAGAAGACAATGAAACAACATCTACACAGTTTTAAGGGGAAAATTTTAAATCAAGAACTACATACCCTGCCAAGTCAATATTTGTGTATGAAGGCAACTGGAAGACTTTTTTAGATATCAACGGGTTAGGAAAGTATATTAATTAAAAGTCTCCTCTGAAAATTTTGCTGAATGACTTACCACAGCCAACAGGAAAGTTAAAAAGAGTAAGCAGATAACTAGATGAAAGATTTGATGGTTAAAACTAGTTAAGAAACATGGTATCTAAAATTGTTATATAGAGGGTAATAAACCTAAAAGCAAAGTAGATTTGTAAGCTAAATCTAAACTTTTCAATTCCAAAGTGCATGTCAAATATTCCATGTAATGGGCAAGTAAATATTGTTTTATTTTCGTCATGTATTATAACAATTCATGTTGTTAAGCCAAATATATGTTAGATGAAAGTGTTTTGTCACTGTGGACAGGACAAGTACAGTAAAGACATTCTAAATGTTAACCTGGCAAAATGTGAAAATGGCACAGTTTTATTTCCATCTAAAAAAAACTAGTAAGTTTATACTGTTAATAATAATAATAATAATAACGTAAGGAGAAAATTTCCAAAGCACTGGTTGGAGAGGTGTAGATATATTTGAAATACTGAATAGGGAAAACCAGCAATTGTTGTATCAGATGGTAGTTCACGTAAGTCAGTTTGTCATTAAGTTGTGGACAAAAATAGACTATACATATTCTAAGTTTCTGAAATTGAAAATAAGTGAAAAACCAAGAAACACTAGCCAAAGTAAAAAACCACGGAAGCATTAAAATTTGCAGAAGAGATATACTGACAGAGATAGAAGTGAATTTTAAAGTGGTTAAATTCCCAATTAATAAGATCCAAACTGAGTAAAAGACAAAACAAAATTCTGATCCAAGATACTCATATTTGTAAAACACAAAGGTTAAAGGTGTTTAAAGGTAGTAGAAACTCTTTAGGTTTAGAAATGGAGAATAACATTTTTATTAGGCAGAAATAAGGATGTTAGAAATTTCACATTTAAGAGACTATACGGCATTCATATGTAAGATTTTTGTTCAACATCTTGATGTGGGTGGTAGTTTTACTGCTGTAAACTGATACAGGTACATGTATGTTAAAATACATTTAAAATTAGTGATTTTATGTATTTAAAATTCATTGAGTGAGTAACCCTTCAATTACAGAGAATACATGCAGGGAAAAAAAGAGCAAAAACAGTTTAGAACAGGACAAAAGAAAAGATGGCCTGAGGGGATCACAAGAACCAGCAGGATTCCACTCTTTTGCAAGCTCAAAATTGCAAAGGTTAAAGACTGCTTTGAGAGGAGAGCCCTAGGGCAACATGCTCTGGAAAGGCAGCAGACTAGGGAATGGGAATTGATTCCTCAGAAATCGGTTCATTGTGCTCAGCCATCCACTCAGAGGTCACTGCAACCATCAGCAAGATGCAAAAGGGCTCAGCTACTGCTCCTGCTAGTAGCAGGCACCATCTGCATGGTGCTGGTTTTAGGCACATGCAGAATGCAAGAGTTAGGCATCAGGGAAGCATCCACCCAAATTTCAGAAAAAGGCCTGAGAGGCCAGGCAGTGGCCCCTGAGAGGAAAGTTTGTGAAGCTGTGAGAGTGAAGTCAATGCAGTGGAGACCCCAGGATGCTGGAAGAGCCAGGAATATGGAACATCTGTGGAAAGTCCCAGGAGTGAGCGAAGGCCAGCCCAAAAGAGAGGCTTTGAGGGATACAAGGACCACCAGTGCTGTAGGGACAGGTCTACCCAAGTGCTTTGGAGTTCACACATACAGCCACAGATTGCCCTAGGTGCTGGACATGGAACTACAGGGTTTAATATTTGCTCTGACAGATTTTGGATTTGCTTTGGTCCCATTCCTTGTCCCTTTTCTACTTTTGGAATGGGAATATTTACCCTATACCTTTGTACGTCTGCAAAATTTAACTTTCTTTTCATTTTTACAGGGGCTCGAAGATTAGAGTTTGCTCTAAATCTCAGAAGAGACTTTAGACTTGGACTTTTCAGCAATGCTGAAACTATTAGGACTTCGGCAACTCTTAAAGGTAGCCTAAATGCATTCTGCATAAAGAGATGGGCCTGAGTCTTTCCGGGACATCTAGATATAAACCATAACACTCAAACATTATTAAACTCATTATGTTGATTGCCTGTCCATCGTTTACTGAAGTGTAGTTTATGTACAGTAAGATGCAATTCATATATATTTTTAAGGTGCACTGAATTTTAGTCAGGTACAGTGGCACATGTCTTGTAATCCCAGCTCCTGGGGACGCTGAGGCGGGAAGACTGTAAGCTGAAGGTCAGCATGGGTAACTCAGCGATACCATGTTTCTAAGTAAAAAGGGGCAAGGAATGTGGTGCAGCAATAGAATGTGGTGCAGCAATAGAATGCACATGCGAGGTACTCAATCCCCAATATGGTATAATCATTTTTAAAAGTATATAAATTTTAAATTAACTAGCTGGGACATAAATGTATCTATCCACAGTACTTTTGAAGAAAATTATAAATAGTTTCAAATTATCTAAGAAAAGAAATGTCTATTTCTCAATAGCTATATAAGGCCTTAAAGAACTCTATATGATCTTAATACATTCCTAAAGTGCAGAATCATATTGCTGGTAAATTCCTAATTGTATGTCATAAAGAAGGCACTATAGAGACCTACATACAAATTAGTAGGAGATATAACTAACCTTTTTTCCTGAGCTTTCACCTTTTTTCTTTGTTGCGATATTTTTATAAGAACTGCCCTTCTTAGGGGCTTGAGTACGTCCAGATGGTTTATTTCGAGACGATTTCCCGAGATGTTGTGTTGGCAGTATTACAGCAGTTTCCTGTGGAGACTGCATTGAATGCTGGGTTGCGTCAGAAGGGGAAGATTCTATTTTTTCTATATTCTTTGCAATAGGAACTGAGAAAAACACAACAAAAAAATTAAAGCAAATAACATAATTAAGGCATTATCTTCTTATGATGACTCAAGAGATGTTTAAGTTAATGACAAACTGACTTAAGAGATGTTTAAGTAAATCTACCTGGTATATGTAGAAGCTTCTGAATCTGTTTCTTCCTTCCTCTCACTATCACAATATCAAGAGATATTTAAATAATTAGTAATTTTGACATAGCACAGGAAAAATATCTGGCAATTTACCTTTTACTACATTCCACATCTTTTTTCCTTAGCGCAAAAGAAGTCTTTCCTTCAGAAAACACTACCCAATTATGTCATTTATAGGAATCATCTTATACATCAATATAGAAAAACAGCAAAGCAACTACCTAGGGATCTTTATTCATCTTTCAGAGGACAGTTAATTCCTTTTTTAAATTTTTTGCAGCTTTATAGATGTATAATTTAAAAATAAAATTACACATATTTAGGCTGGATTCATTATATTCTTACATGTATATCAAATAATAAAATTTCATATGCTATGATACAAACTGTACATTAATGCTGTCACAGAAAGGCTATTATCATGCCCAAGTGATATGAGGGTACTAGTTACCTGGTAGCCCAATCCAGACGATTTTAATACTTTGAGTGAAAATTACCTGCCAGGTTACTTTTGTCTATGTTCACAGTTCAAAAAAGAGACATGTATAGTATTAATGTCTTAATAATTCATTATTACAAAGAATAAACTTTACATATAGAAAGTACTACAGGCACATAAAAAATTTTATAGTAAGAGCCATATAAGTGAAATGTTTATTATATACCTGTGCAAAAATCAAGTTTGAGGGTTTCATTTTACACCTGAAACAATCTACTGCTTTGCTCTTCTTATATTCAGAGTCTATGTAGGTGTAAATCTGACCTGGTACAGAATGTTCCACCTTTTCTGCAGCTTTTGAATCTACCTTTTACTTATTACCTTAGGGGCCAGGGCAAACACGGACCACTTAACTGCCACCATCATGTCCACTGCCCACCTTTAAAAGTTATTCAACTATACTTACATAAGCCTTTCCTTACATTCCATTCCAGGCTCAGTTCTACTTTCTCCAAAAATTCCAGTGACCTATCTTACATCCTTTCTTCTTACACAATCTTCCTATCATTATCTTCATGATTTATCATTATACTACTGATGCTTCATCATCCTGATCTTACCACTGAAGATTTCAGCTACTCCTTGAAATAGTTATGCTTGGCAATTTCTGGAGTTGTTCTATCTCCAAGACAATGGGTTATGTCCCCTTTCTCTACCTTCACAGTTCTTACTGGTTATCTTCGCTTAAAATCAACTGACCATGCCTTATATCCTCATTAAGGTATCTAGCCATAAGCTCCCACCATTTTCATCTAACCCATTCATTTTCTTCAGGCTTTTCTTTACTCCTTATTCACTCTCCACTCAATTGTCTACCTCCACCAACACCTCTAACCTGTATACCTTCCTTTATGATCTCGTGATCTTGGATCATGTCTGACTTATCAACTCTCATCTGCTTTCCTTGGTTCCACGCTACAGAAAAAGGTTAGCAATCTTTTATCTGTAAAGGACCAAATAGTAAATATTTCAGGCTTTGAAACATTTAGAAGGCCACGCATATGGTTTCTGTCACACATTTGTTTTTCTTTTTTAAACAACCAGTTAGGAATATAAAAAATCATTCTTAGCTCATAAGATAAATGGGCTGGATGTGGTCCTTAGTTTTTAGGTTGCCAGCACTCCTATGTTAGCACATTACCATATTACTGATCTCTGAAATCCTGTAAGATTTTGTAATTTCTAACCTTATTTGATTGTTGTGACTCATTGAGACTCACTGATTCCCAACTTTGCTTCCATGGCAAAACGTTTTTCCCTATTAAGTTGTAATCTCCTTCTCCCTCCTCTTCATTCAGCAGATGACTTAACTTTCAATTTTCATGTGAATATTAATGTAACCTTAACCATCCCATTTCTCAACCTTAAAAAAATTTCTATTTTCAATCTTGTTCTCTCTACTTTTATTAGTCCAAACCTCTTTTACTTACGTCCCAACATTTATCTTCCTGGATTCCTTTGGGACATTATGGCTTTAATTATTCTCTTTCTTTATAGTCTTTAATCACTTGGTTCCCAACTCCATGCTCTCTCTTACAGCCTTTCACATATCCCTTATTTTGAAGTTTTCACTCTGATTCTGGTATATGTAGAAGCCTCTGAATCAGTTTCTTCCCTCCACTATCACAATAGCAAGAATCACCTATAATTAATATTTCAATTTCCTTACTGTTCCATTTTCCCTGAATTTGCCGGCATTTGTCCCTGAAGAAGCTACTCTTCTCCCAAGTATATTTTAAAGAAATTCTTTTGGAGGTTACTTGTTATCATTTCATAATTTCTAAATCAAAATATATCCTCATTCTCCTGGCAATCTGTTCAACTTTACAGTTCTAGTCTCCAACTATGAATTCATGTCATGAATTAAGAATAACACACTGGGTTCTAGGCCTAGGTTCAAGGTCTTGTACCAGGTTGGTTTATGACAGAACTTAGAAGTGTAGGAGGTCCTCAGGAAATATTTACTGATAATCCAGGTACAGTGTCACATGCCTGTAATCCCAGCTACTTGGGAGGCTGAACAGGAACATCACAAATTGCAGGCCAGCCTGGGCAACTTAGCAAGACTTGTCTCAAAAGGAAAAAAAAAGTGGGCTGGATATGTAGCTCAGTAGTTGATCATTCCTGGGTTTGATTTCTACTACTACAAAAAACAAAATTACTGGAGAATGAAAAAATATTTTCAAGCTGGGCATGGTTGTGCACCCCTGTAACTCCAGCTATGTGGGAGGCTGCGCCAATTTGATGCAGTTCTAGGTAACTTAGTAAGACCCTATTTCAAAAATAAAATTCAGTAAGGTCTGAGGATTTAGCTAAGTGACAAAGCTCTTGCCTAGCATGTTCAAGACCCTGGATTCAATTTCCAGTACCACAAAGAAAAAATATTTTTCAAACTGCAAGTCAGTGCTAAATCACCAAAACTAGTACATTCTACATACAATAATTAAATTGCAGCAAATAAAATAGTAATTTCATAGAACATAACAAAGTAATGAAATCAATTATTGATCTAAGAATTTTGGCATTTAAGGATCAGAACTGTAGCTTCAAATACTTCCTTAAAATACCACAATAAAAATATTTTCATGAATATGCAAAGTAAAAAATAAAAAATTTATATGTGAATTTTATTTATGAAAAATTCTAATGCAGAAAACAAACTTTTTAAAGTCAATGACTCAATTTTGTTTACTGCCACATACCTACCATCCAGAATACTTTCTAAACTAATTTAACTGAAATGAAAAACAAATGATCATTGATGCTGAAACTGTATTTAGTATTAAAACTACATCAAATAGAAAATGTTTAAAACAGGTTAAAATTATATCAGCATTAGATCTGTGCACTCACGGTGGTCAAAATTAAGAAATTTTCTGAAAAGGTTATGTGAAATAATAAACAAGGATATGCCACTCATCTTTAATAAAATTGTTATGTGAATACCTAACTCAGAACTTCAAGAAATGGGCAAGTAAAATGAACAGATGCTTCTCAGAAGGAATGCAAATGGACAACAAATATATGAAAAAATATTCAAAATCTTTGGCCATTAAATCCAAATTAAAGTAATGCTAAGATTCTATCTTACAGAAAAATAGCAATCAAGTAAAAAATAACAAATGGTGTGGCTGTGGTGAAAAAGAAACTCCCCTACACTGTTGGTTGGAATATAAACTAGTATAACCATTATGGCAGTCAGTACTGAGTTTCCTCGATGAACTAAAATTAGAATTCCATGTGACCCAGCTATCCCCATCTATGTATCTTCCCCAAATAGCTAAAGACATCATACTACAGTGATATACGCATACCAGTATTTACAGCAGCGCAATTCCTAATGGCTAAATCCTGGAAGCTGCCTGTATATCCAACAAATGACTGGATAAAGACACTGTATCTAAGCATAATGGAATACTAGTTGCCTATAAGGAAGGACAAATTCAAACCATCTTTAAAAAAATGGATGCACCTAGAAAATATACTGAGTGAAATAAATCAGAAACACAAGCTTAAATACTATACAGTATCTCTCATTTGAGTAAAGCATAGTACAAAGAACACAATAAAATATGAACAGAAGGAAACACAAGGACAGATCTCCTGGAAATGGAAGGGGTCTGGGAGACACCTGGTGAGAAGAGAGGGGGAGGGGAAAGGGAACCAGGTAGAATAAAGATATGCCATGTACAGGAACATAACATCAATGAATATAAACATTGTATGTCACAAACATGCAATAACATTAATAATGTCAGCAAGAACTCTAGTGGAAAAGGGGGATTTAGAGGAGGAGGGAAGTAGGTAGGAGGAAAGAGGAAAGAGATTTAAAAGAAAAAAAATCAAACTGTATTACATAGATGCACCCACTACCCAAAATGATTTTAAACTGCATATACTATACTGTAAACATATACTAATAAAAAAGAACCAAAGACTTAAAAACCTAAGATCTGAAACTATGAAATGACTAAAAGAAAACATGCAGAAAGTGCTTCAGAACGGGCAAAGCTGTTTATTTTTCCTTTTTATAAATGACACCAACAGCACAGACAACACAAGCAGAAGTTCACAACTGGCAAATGAGACTATATCAAACAAAAAAGCATCTCAAGCTGTGCTTTACGTTTACATAACATTTTCTTTTAACTCACTTCTAATGTAAGATAAAGAGGAAACTGTGTGTCACCACTGTAAGTGAGAAATGATCATAACTTGCCTTAAACAATCATACAAAGAAATAAAGAAATGTATGTCTATGAAATTTTCTTAAGAAGATAAACCAGTCATTTGTAGGAAAATGGATATACCTTGAGACCATGTTAAGTGAAATAAATGAGACACACAAGTTTATATATCATAGTTTCTCTTGTATGAGAAACCCAAATTACAAAGAAAGAGCAAAATAAAAGATAATAGGAAGAGACTGATCTTTCCCACATAGGAAGGGGACCAAGAGATGTAGGCAAAGGGGAGAGAGGAGAGGAAAAGAGGGTGAAGAAATGAATTAAGATGTGTTA